CTCTTCTCTAGCCCACTGGTACCGGTCATCGGCAAGTCCACTCAGCTCCACGTCCTCCTGTACCACGTCACTCCATCTCTTCTCTAGCCCGCTGGTACCAGTCATCGGCAAGTCCACTCAGCTCCACGTCGTCTTGTATGACGTCACTCCATCTCGTCTCTAGCCCGCTGTGACCGGTCATCGGCAAGTCCATTCAGCTACACGTCCTCCTGTACCACGTCACTCCATCTCTTCTCTAGCCCGCTGGTACCGGCCATTAGCAAGTCTCACTCAGCTCCACGTCCTCCTGTACCACGTCACTCCATCTCTTCTCTAGCCCGCTTGTACCGGTCATCGGCAAGGCCACTCAGCTCCACGTCCTCCTGTACCACGTCGCTCCATCTCTTCTCTAGCCAGCTGGTACCGGTCATCGGTAAGTCCACACAGCTCCACGTCCTCCTGTACCACGTCACTCCATCTCTTCTCTAGCCTGCTGGTACTGGTCATCGGCAAGTCGACTCAGCTCCATGTCCTCCTGTACCATGTCACTCCATCTCTTCTCTAGGCCGCTGGTACCGGTCATCGGCAAGTCCACTCAGCTCCACGTCCTCCTGTACCACGTCACTCCATCTCTTCTCTAGCCCGCTGGTATCGGTCATCGGCATGGAGGACGTTTGTGGTGCGCCCGAAACGTCGTGATTTAATTTTTACAAATTTGTTTTTACCTTTACGCGACTTTACCGAGAAGATGGATTCTGGCTTAGCAATCATTGGAAGGTTTTGATAAACCATTTCGTGTTTTAGATTGATTGGTCACACTTACGGTGGCTTTCAGGCCGCATCCATTATTTTCGTCTCCCTCCCCCCCCCCCCTCCTCTTTTCCGAACGGAGATGGACTCGTCCATCTGAACAAATTGTCAAATCGCTCTCCGTGGTGCTGACTTTTAAAAAAAACCCGCCACTTTTTTCAAATTGTTCTTGTTGTGGTTTTCACACCTGATGACGATTGCTGCTTGTGTGTGTTGCAGTCGAAACGTCGTGAGAATTGTATTGTTTATATTTTTTATTATTTTATTGTTTCCCTTCTACGTGGTGGTTACTTTACCGAAAGAACCAAGAATAATAATTTTATTGTTTTACAATAATTTTCTTTTTTATATTTTTATTATTTTATTGTTTCCCATTCTACGTGGTGGTGACTTTACCGAAAGAACCAAAAATAATTATTTTATTGTTTTACAATAATTGTGTTGTTATATTTTTATCATTTTATTGTTTCCCCTGCTACGTGGTGGTGACTTTACCGAAAGAACCAAGAATAATAATTTTATTGTTTTTAGAATAATTTTATTTTTTATATTTTTATTATTTTATTGTTTCCCCTTCTACGTGGTGGTGACTTTACCGAAAGAACCAAGAATAATAATTTTATTGTTTTATATTTTTATTATTTTATTGTTTCCCTTCTACGTGGTGGTGACTTTACCGAAAGAACCAAGAATAATAATTTTATTGTTTTACAATAATTTTATTTTTTATATTTTTATTATTTTATTGTTTCCCCTTCTACATGGTGGTGACTTTACCGAAAGAACCAAGAATAATAATTTTATTGTTTTACAATAATTTTTTTTTTTTTTTTTTTATTTTATTGTTTCCCCTTCTATGTGGTGGTGACTTTACCGAAAGAACCAAGAATAATAATTTCATTGTTTTATATTTTTATTATTTTATTGTTTCCCCTTCTACGTGGTGGTGACTTTACCGAACGAACCAAGAACACAACAAACAAAGGGCATGAATCCTGAAGCCTCGCAATCTAGAATTGCCATTACGACTTCGCCGTCAGTCGATGTGAGATTTGATGAAGAGCGAATCCATAGTTTCATAGTTTTCATAGTTTCAATTATTTTGGTATAGCCCTGTGAGCCATTCGGCTCTTGAATCGGAGTGCAATCGCAACAAGCAAACAAAACTAAAACACGAACAATAAAAACACCTTAAAGTGACTACGGTTGACTTCGTGCAAATCAGAAAATCCATGGGAAAAAGAAACAGCAAAAAATAATTCCTGAAAAAAGCCACCGTTACACCACCAACGCCGTGTGCCAAAAAATCCTGGTGTGGATGCAAAGTCAAACAACAACAACAACAACAACCACAAGACAACTTAGATTAAGGCCATCAGCCTAACTCCGTACTACAACAAGCAAAAACATGGCCAAAACAAAGCAAAAAACTATATTCATATTATTCTTAGCTCTTTCGGAAAAGTCACGTTGAAGGGAAACAATAAAATAATAAAATATATATAAAACAATAAAAATTCTCACGACGTTTCGACCATAACACAGTCATCATCAGGTGTGAAAACCCAACGGCAAGAAACATTTGAAAGAAGTGTCGGTTCGCATCAATTCATTTATTTTTAAACGGTGTATTTATTTATTTATAAAAAAACCGTCAGCGCCACGCGCAGCGATTTGTCAGTTTATTTAGAAGGACGAGTCCATCTATGTTCTGAAAAGAGGAGGGGGGGAGACGAAAAATTAATGTATGCTGTCTGAAAGCCACCGTAAGCGTGAACAATCAATTAAGACCCAGAAATGGTTTATCAAATCCTTCCAATGATTGCTAAGCCCAGAATCCATCTTCTCGGTTGAAGTTGTCTCTGTGTTTGTATATGTGGATAGCCTCGTGAACGAATCTCTCATGGTAGCCGTAAGCGTGAACAATCAATTAAGACCCAGAAATGGTTTATCAAATCCTTCCAATGATTGCTAAGCCCAGAATCCATCTTCTCGGTTGAAGTTGTCTCTGTGCTTGTATATGTGGATAGCCTCGTGAACGAATCTCTCATGGTAGCCGTAAGCGTGAACAATCAATTAAGACCCAGAAATGGTTTATCAAATCCTTCCAATGATTGCTAAGCCCAGAATCCATCTTCTCGGTTGAAGTTGTCTCTGTGCTTGTATATGTGGATAGCCTCGTGAACGAATCTCTCATGGTAGCCGTAAGCGTGAACAATCAATTAAGACCCAGAAATGGTTTATCAAATCCTTCCAATGATTGCTAAGCCCAGAATCCATCTTCTCGGTTGAAATTGTCTCTGTGCTTGTATATGTGGATAGCCTCGTGAACGAATCTCTCATGGTAGCCGTAAGCGTGAACAATCAATTAAGACCCAGAAATGGTTTATCAAATCCTTCCAATGATTGCTAAGCCCAGAATCCATCTTCTCGGTTGAAGTTGTCTCTGTGCTTGTATATGTGGATAGCCTCGTGAACGAATCTCTCATGGTAGCCGTAAGCGTGAACAATCAATTAAGACCCAGAAATGGTTGATCAAATCCTTCCAATGATTGCTAAGCCCAGAATCCATCTTCTCGGTTGAAGTTGTCTCTGTGCTTGTATATGTGGATAGCCTCGTGAACGAATCTCTCATGGTAGCCGTAAGCGTGAACAATCAATTAAGACCCAGAAATGGTTTATCAAATGCTTCCAATGATTGCTAAGCCCAGAATCCATCTTCTCGGTTGAAGTTGTCTCTGTGCTTGTATATGTGGATAGCCTCGTGAACGAATCTCTCATGGTAGCCGTAAGCGTGAACAATCAATTAAGACCCAGAAATGGTTTATCAAATCCTTCCAATGATTGCTAAGCCCAGAATCCATCTTCTCGGTTGAAATTGTCTCTGTGCTTGTATATGTGGATAGGTTCGTGAACGAATCTCTCATGGTAGCCGTAAGCGTGAACAATCAATTAAGACCCAGAAATGGTTTATCAAATCCTTCCAATGATTGCTCAGCCCAGAATCCATCTTCTCGGTTGAAGTTGTCTCTGTGCTTGTATATGTGGATAGCCTCGTGAACGAATCTCTCATGGTAGCCGTAAGCGTGAACAATCAAATTAAGACCCAGAAATGGTTCATCAAATCCTTCCAATGATTGCTTAGCCCAGAATCCATCTTCTCGGTTGAAGTTGTCTCTGTGCCTGTATATGTGGATAGCCTCGTGAACGAATCTCTCATGGTAGCCAGATGGCTTACGAAAAAAAAAAAACCTTTCATTAATCACCAAAATAAAGCCACAAATGCAATGTAACGATCTGCGAGCGAAAGAGCTTCGAAAGCTCACCAGATTGTGTCGATGATTCCAGCGAAAGCGGTCGTTGAAATTGATGGCGGTGCCTGGCGACGTCACAAAGCGCACGCACTGTGTGGGGGTTTTATTTAAAATTAAAAAAACAATCAAATTAAATTCGAGTCGTCGTGAATCAATACGAGGGGACACGGCTGTTAATTAATAGCAATAATTAATAATAATTAACGCGCCTCAAGATTTTGAACCCTTGTTTTAAAATGTTAAAATGTGTAACAACGCAACCGGAAACGGACGTGACGTCAGATGTCCCCTCCCCCCTCCTCCCCCGCCCACGAGGAAAAAAAAAGCGCGCGAACGCGAGGGACGTTGGTGGGGGCTGGTTGGTGTGCGGGTTAGAAGAATCGACTCCTCGGCGAATCGCTAACCTACTTAATCGATTCCACCACCCACAGTATAAAGACCCGCAAATCGGAATCGTTAACCATTTATATCGATTCCGATGTTGGTTTTTTCCCCCCCCCAGCCCGCCTCAGCGTTTTAGAGGGAATCGCTTTTCCGCTATGAAAATCGATTCCCGCTAAAGGGTTTGATGACAAACGGATTCGATTCCCCGTTAGAGTCGGGTGACAAACTAAATCGACTTCCTGGTGAAACCTGTGGGTGGGACGTGTAAAACAAATCGATTCCCCGGTTAGAGACGCTGAAGAAGAATCCAGTAAAGGCTGTGGGTTGGAGGGGATAGCGGAATCGATTCCTCGGTAAGAAGTTGGGGTGGTAGCGGTGGTGAAAAAAAATCGATTCTCCGGTGTTGTTTAATGAAGAGAAATCGATTCCCCGCAAAAGCTGTTGGCGGGCGCGGTTTGTTGTGTGACAAAAGGAATCGATTCCGCGTAGACGCGCGCCGACACCATAAAGCGGAATCGATTCCCTCCCTCCCTCCCCCACCACCACCACCCTTCGAGTCACCAGCGGAGAGGCCCCCAAGCGGAGTTGAGGGGAGAAAATTTTTTATTTTTTATTTTTGTTCGCTCCTCTCCGCTACCCCCCTTTCGCCATCCCCTCGCATCCCCTCGCTACGATGGCCGACGTCAAGGTATTGGGGTCTCCCGGCAACCGCGGGGGTCCCTGCCACGCGGCCGGGGTTGAATTGGCCGTCGGGAAGCGTCGAAGGGGACCCCCCTCAGAACGGGGTTCTTTAAGGGGCGGCGTGAAGGGGGATGATGAGGAGGAGGAGGAGGGGGGGACCGCGAACGCCTCGCCCGAGTAGGCCTCAGGCGGTTTTTGGCGGGATTTGGATTCGTAGGCGTGGGGAGTGAGAATGGGGTTTTCTGTGTGTCTGAGGGGGTTCTCTGAGGGGGTTCACTGAGGGGGTTCACTGAGGGGGTTCTCTGAGGGGGTTCTCTGTGTCTGAGGGGGTTCTGTCTGAGGGGGTTCTCTGTGTCTGAGGGGGTTCTCTGTGTCTGAGGGGGTTCTCTGTCTGAGGGGGTTTTCTGTGTCTGAGGGGGTTTTCTGTGTCTGAGGGGGTTTTCTGTGTCTGAGGGGGTTTTCTGTGTCTGAGGGGTTCTCTGTGTCTGAGGGGGTTCTCTGAGGGGGTTCTCTGAGGGGGTTCTCTGAGGGGGTTCTCTGTGTCTGAGGGGGTTCTCTGTGTCTGAGGGGGTTCTCTGTGTCTGAGGGGGTTCTCTGAGGGGGTTCTCTGTCTGAGGGGGTTTTCTGTGTCTGAGGGGGTTTTCTGTGTCTGAGGGGGTTTTCTGTGTCTGAGGGGGTTTTCTGTGTCTGAGGGGGTTTTCTGTGTCTGAGGGGGTTTTCTGTGTCTGAGGGGGTTCTCTGTGTCTGAGGGGGTTCTCTGTGTCTGAGGGGGTTCTCTGTGTCTGAGGGGGTTCTCTGAGGGGGTTCTCTGAGGGGGTTCTCTGAGGGGGTTCTCTGAGGGGGTTCTCTGAGGGGGTTCTCTGAGGGGGTTCTCTCTGTCTGAGGGGGTTCTCTGTGTCTGAGGGGGTTCACTGAGGGGGTTCTCTCTGTCTGAGGGGGTTCTCTCTGTCTGAGGGGGTTCTCTCTGTCTGAGGGGGTTCTCTGTGTCTGAGGGGGTTCTCTGTGTCTGAGGGGGTTCTCTGTGTCTGAGGGGGTTCTCTGTGTCTGAGGGGGTTCTCTGTGTCTGAGGGGGTTCTCTGTCTGAGGGGGTTCTCTGTCTGAGGAGGTTCTCTGTGTCTGAGGGGGTTCTCTGTGTCTGAGGGGGTTCTCTGTGTCTGAGGGGGGTTCTCTGTCTGAGGGGGTTCTCTGAGGGGGTTCTCTGTGTCTGAGTGGGTTCTCTGAGGGGGTTCTCTGTGTCTGAGGGGGTTCTCTGTGTCTGAGGGGGTTCACTCTCTGGGTCTGAGGGGGCTCTCTGTGTCTGAGGGGGTTTTCTGTCTGAGGGGGTTAACTGTCTGAGGGGGTTATCTGTGTGAGGGGGTTATCTGTGTGAGGGGGTTATCTGTGTCTGAGGGGGTTCTCTGTGTCTGAGGGGGTTCTCTGTGTCTGAGGGGGTTCTCTGTGTCTGAGGGGGTTCTCTGTGTCTGAGGGGGTTCTCTGTGTCTGAGGGGGTTCTCTGTGTCTGAGGGGGTTCTCTGTGTCTGAGGGGGTTCTCTGTGTCTGAGGGGGTTCTCTGTGTCTGAGGGGGTTCTCTGTGTCTGAGGGGGTTCTCTGTGTCTGAGGGGGTTCTCTGTGTCTGAGGGGGTTCTCTGTGTCTGAGGGGGTTCTCTGTGTCTGAGGGGGTTCTCTCTGTCTGAGGGGGTTCTCTGTGTCTGAGGGGGTTCTCTGTGTCTGAGGGGGTTCTCTGTGTCTGAGGGGGTTCTCTGTGTCTGAGGGGGTTCTCTCTGTGTCTGAGGGGGTTCTCTCTGTGTCTGAGGGGGTTCTCTCTGTGTCTGAGGGGGTTTCTCTCTGTGTCTGAGGGGGTTCTCTCTGTGTCTGAGGGGGTTCTCTCTGTGTCTGAGGGGGTTCTCTGTCTGAGGGGGTTCTCTGTCTGAGGGGGTTCTCTGTCTGAGGGGGTTCTGTGTCTGAGGGGGTTCTCTGTCTGAGGGGGTTCTCTGTCTGAGGGGGTTCTGTGTCTGAGGGGGTTCTCTGTGTCTGAGGGGGTTCTCTGTGTCTGAGGGGGTTCTCTGTCTGAGGGGGTTCTCTGTGTCTGAGGGGGTTCTCTGTGTCTGAGGGGGTTCACTGAGGGGGTTCTCTGTGTTTGAAGGGGTTCTCTGTCTGAGGGGGTTCTCTGTGTCTGAGGGGGTTCTCTGTGTCTGAGGGGGTTCTCTGTGTCTGAGGGGGTTCTCTGTCTGAGGGGGTTCTCTGTGTCTGAGGGGGTTCTCTGTCTGAGGGGGTTCACTGAGGGGGTTCTCTGTCCTAGGGGGTTCTCTGTCTGAGGGGGTTCTCTTTCTGAGGGGGTTCTCTGTCTGAGGGGGTTCTCTGTGTCTGAGGGGGTTTTCTGTCTGAGGGGGTTTTCTGTCTGAGGGGGTTTTCTGTGTCTGAGGGGGTTCTCTGTGTGAGGGGGTTCTCTGTGTGAGGGGGTTCTCTGTCTGAGGGGGTTCTCTGTGTGAGGGGGTTCTCTGTGTGAGGGGGTTCTCTGTCTGAGGGGGTTCTCTGTCTGTGGGGGTTCTCTGTCTGAGGGGGTTCACTCTGTCTGAGGGGGTTCTCTGTGTCTGAGGGGTTCTCTGTCTGAGGGGGTTCTCTGTCTGAGGGGGTTCTCTGTGTCTGAGGGGGTTCTCTGTGCCTGAGGGGGTTCTCTGTGCCTGAGGGGTTCTCTGTCTGAGGGGGTTCTCTGTCTGAGGGGGTTCTCTGTCTGAGGGGGTTCTCTGTCTGAGGGGGTTCTCTGTCTGAGGGGGTTCTCTGTCTGAGGGGGTTCTCTGTCTGAGGGGGTTTTCTGTGTCTGAGGGGGTTCTCTGAGGGGGTTCTCTGTGTCTGAGGGGGTTCACTGAGGGGGTTCTCTGTCTGTGGGGGTTCTCTGTGCCTGAGGCGGTTCACTGAGGGGGTTCTCTGTGTCTGAAGGGGTTCTCTGTGTCTGAAGGGGTTCTCTGTCTGAGGGGGTTCACTGTGTCTGAGGGGGTTCACTGTGTCTGAGGGGGTTCTCTGTGTCTGAGGGGGTTCTCTGTGTCTGAGGGGGTTCTCTGAGGGGGTTCTCTGTCTGAGGGGGTTCTCTGTCTGAGGGGGTTCACTCTCTGTGTCTGAGGGGGTTTTCTGTCTGAAGGGGTTCTCTGTCTGAGGGGGTTCTCTGTCTGAGGGGGTTCTCTGTCTGAGGGGGTTCACTGTGTCTGAGGGGGTTCACTGTGTCTGAGGGGGTTCTCTGTGTCTGAGGGGGTTCTCTGTGTCTGAGGGGGTTCTCTGTGTCTGAGGGGGTTCTCTGTGTCTGGGGGGGTTCTCTGTGTCTGAGGGGGTTCTCTGTCTGAGGGGGTTCTCTGTCTGAGGGGGTTCTCTGTCTGAGGGGGTTCTCTGTCTGAGGGGGTTCTCTGTCTGAGGGGGTTCTCTGTGTCTGAGGGGGTTCTCTGTGTCTGAGGGGGTTCTCTGTGTCTGAGGGGGTTCTCTGTGTCTGAGGGGGTTCTCTGTGTCTGAGGGGGTTCTCTGTGTCTGAGGGGGTTCTCTGTGTCTGAGGGGGTTCTCTGTGTCTGAGGGGGTTCTCTGTGTCTGAGGGGGTTCTCTGTCTGAGGGGGTTCTCTGTCTGAGGGGGTTCACTGAGGGGGTTTTCTCTGTCTGAGGGGGTTTTCTCTGTCTGAGGGGGTTTTCTCTGTCTGAGGGGGTTCTCTGTGTCTGAGGGGGTTATCTGTGTCTGAGGGAGTTCTCTGTAGTACAGGGGGAGATCACACAAAATCCACTCACTCTGTAGAACAGGGGGAGATCACACAAACTCCACTCTGTAGAACAGGGGGAGACCACACAAACTCCACTCTCTCTGTAGAACAGTGGGAGACCACACAAACTCCACTCACTCTGTAGAACAGGGGGAGACCACACAAACTCCACTCTCTCTTTAGAACAGGGGGAGATCACACAAACTCCACTCACTCTGTAGTACAGGGGGAGATCACACAAACTCCACTCACTCTGTTGAACAGGGGGAAATCACACAAACTCCACTCTAGTACAGGGGGAGATCACACAAACTCCACTCACTCTGCAGTGCAGGGGGAGATCACACAAACTCCACTCACTCTGTAGAACAGGGGGAGATCACACAAACTCCACTCACTCTCTGGAACAGGGGGAGATCACACGAACCTCACTCTCTCTGTAGTATAGGGGGAGATTACACAAACTCCACTCACTCTGTAGAACAGGGGGAGATCACATAAACTCCACTCACTCACTCTGTAAGACAGGGGGAGATCACACAAACTCCACTCTGTATTACAGGGGGAGATCACACAAACTCCACTCTCTGTAGTACAGGGGGAGATTACACAAACTCCACTCACTCTGTAGAACAGGGGGAGATCACACAAACTCCACTCACTCTGTAGAACAGGGGGAGATCACACAAACTCCACTCACTCTGTAGAACAGGGGGAGATCACACAAACTCCACTCTGTACAACAGGGGGAGATCACACAAACTCCACTCTCCCTGTAGAACAGAGGGAGATCACACAAACTCCACTCTCTGTAGAACAGGGGGAGATCACACAAACTCCACTCTGTAGTACAGGGGGAGATCACACAAACTCCACTCTCTCTGTAGAACAGGGGGAGATCACACAAACTCCACTCTCTCTGTAGAACAGGGGGAGATCACACAAACTCCACTCACTCTGTAGGACAGGGGGAGATCACACAAACTCCACTCACTCACTCTGTAGTGCAGGGGGAGATCACACAAACTCCACTCACTCTGTAGTAGAGGGGGAGATCACACAAACTCCACTCTCTCTGTAGAACAGGGGGAGATCACACAAACTCCACTCTCTCTGTAGGATAGGGGAGATCACACAAACTCCACTCTCTCTGTAGTATAGGGGGAGATCACACAAACTCCACTCTCTCTGTAGTACAGGGGGAGATCACACAAACCCCACTCACTCTGTAGAACAGGGGGAGATCACACAAACTCCACTCTGTACAACAGGGGGAGATCACACAAACTCCACTCACTCTGTAGAACAGGGGGAGATCACACAAACTCCACTCTCACACTCTGGAGTACAGGGGGAGATCACACAAACTCCACTCATCTGTAGAACAGGGGGAGATCACGCAAACTCCACTCTGTAGAACAGGGGGAGATCACACAAACTCCACTCACTCTGTAGAACAGGGGGAGATCACACAAACTCCACTCTGTAGAACAGGGGGAGACCACACAAACTCCACTCTCTCTGTAGAACAGTGGGAGACCACACAAACTCCACTCACTCTGTAGAACAGGGGGAGACCACACAAACTCCACTCTCTCTTTAGAACAGGGGGAGATCACACAAACTCCACTCACTCTGTAGTACAGGGGGAGATCACACAAACTCCACTCACTCTGTTGAACAGGGGGAAATCACACAAACTCCACTCTAGTACAGGGGGAGATCACACAAACTCCACTCACTCTGCAGTGCAGGGGGAGATCACACAAACTCCACTCACTCTGTAGAACAGGGGGAGATCACACAAACTCCACTCACTCTCTGGAACAGGGGGAGATCACACGAACCTCACTCTCGCTGTAGTATAGGGGGAGATTACACAAACTCCACTCACTCTGTAGAACAGGGGGAGATCACATAAACTCCACTCACTCACTCTGTAAGACAGGGGGAGATCACACAAACTCCACTCTGTATTACAGGGGGAGATCACACAAACTCCACTCTCTGTAGTACAGGGGGAGATTACACAAACTCCACTCACTCTGTAGAACAGGGGGAGATCACACAAACTCCACTCACTCTGTAGAACAGGGGGAGATCACACAAACTCCACTCACTCTGTAGAACAGGGGGAGATCACACAAACTCCACTCTGTACAACAGGGGGAGATCACACAAACTCCACTCTCCCTGTAGAACAGAGGGAGATCACACAAACTCCACTCTCTGTAGAACAGGGGGAGATCACACAAACTCCACTCTGTAGTACAGGGGGAGATCACACAAACTCCACTCTCTCTGTAGAACAGGGGGAGATCACACAAACTCCACTCTCTCTGTAGAACAGGGGGAGATCACACAAACTCCACTCACTCTGTAGAACAGGGGGAGATCACACAAACTCCACTCACTCACTCTGTAGTGCAGGGGGAGATCACACAAACTCCACTCACTCTGTAGTAGAGGGGGAGATCACACAAACTCCACTCTCTCTGTAGAACAGGGGGAGATCACACAAACTCCACTCTCTCTGTAGTATAGGGGAGATCACACAAACTCCACTCTCTCTGTAGTATAGGGGGAGATCACACAAACTCCACTCTCTCTGTAGTACAGGGGGAGATCACACAAACCCCACTCACTCTGTAGAACAGGGGGAGATCACACAAACTCCACTCTGTACAACAGGGGGAGATCACACAAACTCCACTCACTCTGTAGAACAGGGGGAGATCACACAAACTCCACTCTCACACTCTGGAGTACAGGGGGAGATCACACAAACTCCACTCATCTGTAGAACAGGGGGAGATCACGCAAACTCCACTCTGTAGAACAGGGGGAGATCACACAAACTGCACTCACTCTGTAGAACAGGGGGAGATCACACAAACTCCACTCTGTAGAACAGGGGGAGACCACACAAACTCCACTCTCTCTGTAGAACAGGGGGAGATCACACAAACTGCACTCACTCTGTAGAACAGGGGGAGATCACACAAACTCCACTCACTCTGTAGAACAGGGGGAGATCACACAAACTCCACTCTGTCATACAGGGGGAGATCACACAAACTCCACTCTCTGTAGTACAGGGGGAAATCACACAAACTCCACTCACTCACTCTGTAGTACAGCGGGAGATCACACAAACTCCACGCACTCATTCACACTCCTACTCATTCACTCCTTTGTGTGACTCCCTGTGTGTCCCCTTGGTGACTCCCCTTGGTGACCCCCTGGCCACCCACCCCGCTCCCCCACACCACCACCTTCAGGAGGACATCGATGAGAACCACGACCCCCACTTTGACCCCATCGTGTCGCTGCCCGAGCAGGAAGTTCGCACGCTCGAGGAGGATGAGAGCGAGCTCTTCAAGATGTACGCCTCACCCCGCACCTCACCCCGCACCTCACCCAGAACCTCACCCAGCGCCTCACCCAGCACCTCACCAAGCACCTCACCCAGCACCTCACCCAGCCCCTCACCCAGCAACTCACCCAGCAACTCACCCAGCAACTCACCCAGAACCTCGCCCAGCCCCTCACCCAGCAACTCACCCAGCAACTCACCCAGCAACTCACCCAGCGCCTCACCCAGCGCCTCACCCAGCGCCTCACCCAGCCCCTCACCCAGCAACTCACCCAGCAACTCACCCAGCAACTCACCCAGCAACTCACCCAGCAACTCACCCAGCGCCTCACCCAGCGCCTCACCCAGCGCCTCACCCAGCGCCTCACCCAGCAACTCACCCAGCAACTCACCCAGCACCTCACCCAGAACCTCACCCCACACCTCACCCCGCACCTCACCCCACACCTCACCCAGAACCTCACCCCGCACCTCACCCAGCAACTCACCCCGCACCTCACCCAGCACCTCACCCAGCAACTCACCCGGCAACTCACCCAACAACTCGCCCAGCACCTCACCCAGAACCTCACCCCGCACCTCACCCCGCACCTCACCCAGAACCTCACCCCGCACCTCACCCAGAAACTCACCCCGCACCTCACCCCACACCTCGCACCTCACCCAGCAACTCACCCCGCACCTCACCCAGCAACTCACCCAGCGCCTCACCCAGCACCTCACCCAGCAACTCACCCAGCAACTCACCCAGCCCCTCACCCAACGCCTCACCCAGCAACTCACCCAGCAACTCACCCAGCGCCTCACCCAGCAACTCACCCAGCAACTCACCCAGCAACTCACCCAACAACTCGCCCAGCACCTCACCCAGAACCTCACCTCGCACCTCACCCAGCAACTCACCCCGCACCTCACCCAGCAACTCACCCAGCGCCTCACCCAGCGCCTCACCCAGCAACTCACCCAGCCCCTCACCCAGCCCCTCACCCAGCAACTCACCCAGAACCTCGCCCCGCAACTCACCCAGCGCCTCACCCAGCCCCACAACCAGCACCTCACCCAGCAACTCACCCAGCCCCTCACCCAGCCCCTCACCCAGCCCCTCACCCAGCGCCTCACCCAGCGCCTCACCCAGCACCTCACCCAGCACCTCACCCCACACCTCACCCAGAACCTCACCCAGCCCCTCACCCAGCCCCTCACCCAGCTCCTCACCCAGCCCCTCACCCCGCACCTCGCCCAGCACCTCACCCAGCAACTCACCCAGCACCTCACCCAGCAACTCACCCAGCTCCTCACCCAGCAACTCACCCAGCCCCTCACCCAGCACCTCACCCAGCACCTCACCCAGCGCCTCACCCAGCGACTCACCCAGCGCCTCACCCAGCACCTCACCCAGCGCCTCACCCAGCGCCTCACCCAGCGCCTCACCCAGCGCCTCACCCAGCGCCTCACCCAGCGCCTCACCCAGCACCTCACCCAGCACCTCACCCAGCAACTCACCCAGCACCTCACCCAGCACCTCACCCAGCAACTCACCCAGCGCCTCACCCAGCGCCTCACCCAGCGCCTCACCCAGCGCCTCACCCAGCCCCTCACCCAGCGCCTCACCCAGCGCCTCACCCAGCCCCTCACCCAGCAACTCACCCAGCCCCTCACCCAGCCCCTCACCCAGCCCCTCACCCAGCACCTCACCCAGCACCTCACCCAGCAACTCACCCAGCCCCTCACCCAGCACCTCACCCTGCTCCTCACCCAGCGCCTCACTCAGCACCTCACCCAGCACCTCACCCTGCGCCTCACCCAGCAACTCACCCAGCAACTCACCCAGCCCCTCACCCAGCAACTCACCCAGCCCCTCACCCAGCCCCTCACCCAGCCCCTCACCCAGCACCTCACCCAGCAACTCACCCAGCACCTCACCCAGCTCCTCACCCTGCTCCTCACCCTGCTCCTCACCCAGCGCCTCACCCAGCGCCTCACCCAGCGCCTCACCCAGCCCCGCTCACCCACTTGCTTGCTCGCCCGTCAACCTACCCACTGTCTCCGTGTCTGTCTCTCTCTGTGTGTCTCTGTCTGTCTGTCTCCGTGTCTGTCTCTGTCTGTCTGTCTCCGTGAGGCTTTGTGTACAGCAGAGCCAAGGTGTTCCTCTACTCACCCACTCACTGTGTCTCTCTCTGTGTGTGTCTCTCTCACTGTGTCTCTCTGTGTGTGTCTGTGTGTCTCTGTGTCTCTCTGTGTGTCTCTCTGTGTCTCTCTCTGTGTGTCTCTCACTGTGTGTCTCTGTGTGTCTCTGTGTCTCTCTCTCTGTGTCTCTCTCTCTGTGTCTCTCTCTCTGTGTCTCTCTCTCTGTGTCTCTCTCTCTCTGTGTCTCTCTCTGTGTCTCTCTCTCTGTGTCTCTCTCTCTGTGTCTCTCTCTCTGTGTCTCTCTGTGTGTCTCTCTCTCTGTGTCTCTCTGTGTCTCTCTCTCTGTGTCTCTCTCTCTGTGTCTCTCTCTCTGTGTCTCTCTCTCTGTGTCTCTCTCTCTGTGTGTGTTTCTCTGTGTGTGTCTCTGTGTCTCTCTCTGTGTGTGTCTCTGTGTCTCTCTCTGTGTGTGTCTCTGTGTCTCTCTCTGTGTCTCTGTGTCTCTCTCTGTGTCTCTGTGTCTCTCTCTGTGTCTCTGTGTCTCTCTGTGTCTCTGTGTCTCTCTCTCTCTGTGTCTCTCTCACTGTGTCTCTGTCTGTGTGTGTCTCTCTCACTGTGTCTCTCTCTGTGTGTGTCTCTCTCTGTGTGTCTCTGTGTCTCTCTGTGTGTGTCTCTCTCACTGTCTCTCTCTGTGTGTGTCTCTCTCACTGTGTCTCTCTCTGTGTGTCTCTCTCACTGTGTCTCTCTCTGTGTGTGTCTCTCTCACTGTATCTCTCTCTGTGTGTCTCTGTCTCTCTCTTTGTGTCACTGTGTCTCTCTCTGTGTGTCTCTGTCTCTCTCTTTGTGTCACTGTGTCTCTCTGTGTGTCTCTCTCTGTCTCTCTCTCTGTGTGTCTCTGTGTCTCTCTCTCTGTGTCTCTCTCTCTCTCTGTGTCTCTGTGTCTCTCTCTCTGTGTCTCTGTGTGTCTCTGTGTGTCTCTGTGTGTCTCTCTGTGTGTCTCTGTGTCTCTCTCTGTGTGTCTCTGTGTCTCTCTCACTGTGTCTCTGTCTCTCTGTGTGTCTCTGTGTCTCTCTCTCTGTGTCTCTCTCTCTGTGTCTCTCTCTCTGTGTCTCTCTCTCTGTGTCTCTCTCTGTGTCTCTCTCTCTGTGTCTCTCTCTCTGTGTCTCTCTGTGTCTCTCTCTCTCTGTGTCTCTCTCTCTCTGTGTCTCTCTGTGTCTCTCTCTCTGTGTCTCTCTCTCTGTGTCTCTCTCTCTGTGTCTCTCTCTCTGTGTCTCTCTCTCTGTGTGTGTTTCTCTGTGTGTGTCTCTGTGTCTCTCTCTGTGTGTGTCTCTGTGTCTCTCTCTGTGTGTGTCTCTGTGTCTCTCTCTGTGTGTGTCTCTGTGTCTCTCTCTGTGTCTCTGTGTCTCTCTCTGTGTCTCTGTGTCTCTCTCTGTGTCTCTGTGTCTCTCTGTGTCTCTGTCTCTCTCTCTCTGTGTCTCTCTCACTGTGTCTCTGTCTCTCTCTCTGTGTGTGTCTCTCTCACTGTGTCTCTCTCTGTGTGTCTCTGTGTCTCTCTGTGTGTGTCTCTCTCACTGTCTCTCTCTGTGTGTGTCTCTCTCACTGTGTCTCTCTCTCTGTGTCTCTCTCACTGTGTCTCTCTCTGTGTGTGTCTCTCTCACTGTATCTCTCTCTGTGTGTCTCTGTCTCTCTCTGTGTGTCACTGTGTCTCTCTCTGTGTGTCTCTGTCTCTCTCTCTGTGTGTCTCTGTGTCTCTCTGTGTGTCTCTCTCTGTCTCTCTCTCTGTGTGTCTCTGTGTCTCTCTCTCTGTGTCTCTCTCTCTGTGTGTCTCTGTGTCTCTCTCTCTATGTGTCTCTGTGTGTCTCTGTGTGTCTCTGTGTGTCTCTGTGTCTCTCTCTGTGTGTCTCTGTGTCTCTCTCTGTGTGTCTCTGTGTCTCTCTCACTGTGTCTCTGTCTCTCTGTGTGTCTCTGTGTCTCTCTCTCTCTGTGTCTCTCTCTCTGTGTCTCTCTCTCTGTGTCTCTGTCTCTCTGTGTGTCTCTGTGTCTCTCTCTCTCTGTGTCTCTCTCTCTGTGTCTCTCTCTCTGTGTCTCTCTCTCTGTGTCTCTCTCTGTGTGTCTCTGTGTCTCTCTCACTGTGTCTCTCTGTGTGTCTCTGTGTCTCTCTCTCTGTGTCTCTCTCTCTCTGTGTCTCTCTCTCTGTGTCTCTCTCACTGTGTCTCTCTCACTGTGTCTCTCTCACTGTGTGTCTCTCTGTGTGTGTCTCTGTGTCTCTCTCTCTGTGTCTCTCTCTGTGTCTCTCTGTCTCTCTGTGTGTCTCTGTGTCTCTCTCTGTGTGTCTCTGTGTCTCTCTCTGTGTGTCTCTGTGTCTCTCTCTGTGTGTCTCTGTGTCTCTCTCTGTGTGTCTCTCTCTGTGTGTCTCTCTCTCTCTGTCTCTCTGTGTGTCTCTGTGTGTCTCTCTCTGTGTGTCTCTCTCTCTGTGTGTGTCTCTCTTTCTGTGTGTCTCTCTCTGTGTCTCTCTCTCTCTCTGTCTCTCTGTGTGTCTCTGTGTCTCTCTCTGTGTGTCTCTGTGTCTCTCTCTGTGTGTCTCTGTGTCTCTCTCTGTGTGTCGCTGTGTCTCTCTCTCTGTGTCTCTGTGTCTCTCTCTCTGTGTGTCTCTGTGTCTCTCTCTCTGTGTGTCTCTGTGTCTCTCTCACTGTGTCTCTCTGTGTGTCTCTCTGTGTCTCTCTGTGTGTCTCTGTGTCTCTCTGTGTCTCTCTGTGTCTCTCTGTGTGTCTCTGTGTCTCTCTGTGTGTCTCTGTGTCTCTCTGTGTGTCTCTGTCTCTCTCTCTCTGTGTGTCTCTGTGTCTCTCTCTCTGTGTGTCTCTGTGTCTCTCTCTCTGTGTGTCTCTGTGTCTCTCTCACTGTCTCTCCTGTATCTCTCTCTGTGTCTCTCTCTGTGTCTCTCTCTGTGTCTCTCTCTCTATGTCTCTCTCTCTGTGTCTCTCTCTCTGTGTCTCTCTGTGTCTCGCTGTGTGTCTCTGTGTCTCTCTGTGTGTCTGTGTGTATCTCTGTGTCTCTCTCTGTGTGTCGCTGTGTCTCTCTCTCTGTGTCTCTGTGTCTCTCTCTCTGTGTGTCTCTGTGTCTCTCTCTCTGTGTGTCTCTGTGTCTCTCTCACTGTGTCTCTCTGTGTGTCTCTCTGTGTCTCTCTGTGTGTCTCTGTGTCTCTCTGTGTCTCTCTGTGTCTCTCTGTGTGTCTCTGTGTCTCTCTGTGTGTCTCTGTGTCTCTCTGTGTGTCTCTGTCTCTCTCTCTCTGTGTGTCTCTGTGTCTCTCTCTCTGTGTGTCTCTGTGTCTCTCTCTCTGTGTGTCTCTGTGTCTCTCTCACTGTCTCTCCTGTATCTCTCTCTGTGTCTCTCTCTGTGTCTCTCTCTGTGTCTCTCTCTCTATGTCTCTCTCTCTGTGTCTCTCTCTCTGTGTCTCTCTGTGTCTCGCTGTGTGTCTCTGTGTCTCTCTGTGTGTCTGTGTGTATCTCTGTGTCTCTCTCTGTCTCTCTGTGTCTCTCTGTGTCTCTCTCTGTGTCTCTCTCTGTGTCTCTCTCTGTGTCTCTCTCTCTGTCTCTCTCTCTGTATCTGTCTCTGTGTGTCTCTCTGTGTGTCTCTGTGTCTCTCTGTGTGTCTCTGTGTCTCTCTCTGTGTCTCTGTGTCTCTCTCTCTCTGTGTCTCTGTGTCTCTGTGTCTCTCTGTGTCTCTCTCTGTGTCTCTCTCTGTGTCTCTCTCTGTGTCTGTCTCTCTGTGTGTCTCTGTGTGTCTCCGTGTGTCTGTCTCTCTGTGTGTCTCTCTGTGTCTCTCTGTGTGTCTCTGTGTCTCTCTGTGTGTCTCTGTGTCTCTCTGTGTGTCTCTGTGTCTCTCTGTGTGTCTCTGTGTCTCTCTCACTGTGTCTCTCTGTGTGTCTCTCTGTGTCTCTCTGTGTCTCTCTGTGTCTCTCTGTGTCTCTCTGTGTGTCTCTGTGTCTCTCTGTGTGTCTCTGTGTGTCTCTGTGTCTCTCTCACTGTCTCTCTCTGTGTCTCTCTCTGTGTCTCTCTCTGTGTCTCTCTCTGTGTCTCTCTCTGTGTCTCTCTCTGTGTCTCTCTCTGTGTGTCTCTCTCTGTCTCTCTCTCTGTGTCTGTCTCTCTGTGTCTCTCTGTGTGTCTCTGTGTCTCTCTGTGTGTCTCTGTGTCTCTCTCTCTCTGTGTCTCTGTGTCTCTCTCTCTCTGTGTCTCTGTGTCTCTCTCTCTGTGTCTCTGTGTCTCTCTGTGTCTCTGTGTCTCTCTCTGTGTCTGTCTCTCTGTGTGTCTCCGTGTGTCTCTGTGTCTCTCTGTGTGTCTCTCTGTGTCTCTCTGTGTGTCTCTGTGTCTCTCTGTGTGTCTCTGTGTCTCTCTGTGTGTCTCTGTGTCTCTCTCTCTGTGTGTCTCTGTGTCTCTCTCTCTGTGTGTCTCTGTGTCTCTCTCACTGTGTCTCTCTGTGTGTCTCTCTGTGTGTCTCTGTGTCTCTCTGTGTGTCTCTGTGTCTCTCTGTGTCTCTCTGTGTCTCTCTGTGTGTCTCTGTGTCTCTCTGTGTGTCTCTGTGTGTCTCTGTGTCTCTCTCACTGTCTCTCTCTGTGTCTCTCTCTGTGTCTCTCTCTGTGTCTCTCTCTGTGTCTCTCTCTGTGTCTCTCTCTGTGTCTCTCTCTGTGTGTCTCTCTCTGTCTCTCTCTCTGTGTCTGTCTCTCTGTGTCTCTCTGTGTGTCTCTGTGTCTCTCTGTGTGTCTCTGTGTCTCTCTCTCTCTGTGTCTCTGTGTCTCTCTCTCTGTGTCTCTCTGTGTCTCTGTGTCTCTCTCTGTGTCTGTCTCTCTGTGTGTCTCTGTGTGTCTCCGTGTGTCTCTGTGTCTCTCTGTGTGTCTCTCTGTGTCTCTCTGTGTGTCTCTGTGTCTCTCTGTGTGTCTCTGTGTCTCTCTGTGTGTCTCTGTGTCTCTCTCTCTGTGTGTCTCTGTGTCTCTCTCTCTCTGTGTCTCTGTGTCTCTCTCACTGTGTCTCTCTGTGTGTCTCTCTGTGTCTCTCTGTGTCTCTCTGTGTGTCTCTGTGTCTCTCTGTGTCTCTCTGTGTCTCTCTGTGTGTCTCTGTGTCTCTGTGTCTCTCTGTGTGTCTCTGTGTCTCTCTCTCTCTGTGTGTCTCTCTCTGTGTCTCTCTCTGTGTCTCTCTCTGTGTCTGTCTCTCTGTGTGTCTCTGTGTCTCTCTCACTGTGTCTCTCTGTGTGTCTCTCTGTGTCTCTCTGTGTCTCTCTGTGTGTCTCTGTGTCTCTCTGTGTCTCTCTGTGTCTCTCTGTGTGTCTCTGTGTCTCTGTGTCTCTCTGTGTGTCTCTGTGTCTCTCTCTCTCTGTGTGTCTCTCTCTGTGTCTCTCTCTGTGTCTCTCTCTGTGTCTGTCTCTCTGTGTGTCTCTGTGTGTCTCCGTGTGTCTCTGTGTCTCTCTGTGTGTCTCTCTGTGTCTCTCTGTGTGTCTCTGTGTCTCTCTGTGTGTCTGTGTCTCTCTGTGTGTCTCTGTGTCTCTCTGTGTGTCTCTGTGTCTCTCTCTCTGTGTGTCTCTGTGTCTCTCTCTCTGTGTGTCTCTGTGTCTCTCTCACTGTCTCTCTCTGTGTCTCTCTCTGTGTCTCTCTATGTCTCTCTCTCTGTGTCTGTCTCTCTGTGTGTCTCTCTGTGTCTCTCTGTGTCTCTGTGTGTCTCTGTGTGTCTCTGTGTCTCTCTGTGTGTCTCTATGTCTCTCTCTCTCTGTGTCTCTGTGTGTCTCTCTCTCTGTGTCTCTCTCTGTGTGTGTCTCTGTGTGTCTCTCTCTACGTGTCTCTCTGTGTCTCTCTCTGTGTGTCTCTCTTTCTGTGTCTCTCTCTGTGTCTCTGTGTGTCTCTCTCTCTGTGTGTCTCTGTGTGTCTCTATGTGTCTCTCTGTGTCTCTCTCTGTGTGTCTCTCTCTCTGTGTCTCTGTGTCTCTCTCTCTGGGTATCTCTGTTCATCTCTCTCGAGTGTCTCTGTTTGTCTCTCTCTGTGTGTCTCTGTCTCTCTCTGTGTGTCTGTGTCTTTCTCTCTGTGTGTCTCTGTGTCTCCCTCTGTGTCTCTCTCTCTGTGTGTCTCTTTGTCTGTCTCCGTGTCTATGTACAGCAGAGCCAAGCTGTTCCTCGACTCACCCACTCACTGTGTCTCTCTGTGTCTCTCTCTCTGTGTCTCCGTGTCTCTCCGTGTCTCTCTGTCTCTCTCTGTCTCTTGTGTCTCCAGTTGTCTCCGTGTATACAGGACAGCCAAGCTGTTCCACTACCTACTCACCTACCCAACCCTCACCGTGTGTCTCCGTGTGTCTCTGTCCCTCTGTCTCCGTGTCTACACGTATCTTCACGTGTCTCCGTGTGTAGAGGAGAGCCAAGCTGTTCCGCTACCTACTCACCTACCCAACCCTCACCGTGTCTCTCTCTGTCTCTCTCTGTCTCTCTCTGTCTCTCTCTGCCTCTCTCTGCCTCTCTCTGTCTCCGCGGAGAGCCAAGCTGTTCCGCTACCTACTCGCCTACCCAACCCTCACCGTGTGTCTCTCTCTGTCTCTCTCTCTGTCTCTCTGTCTCTCTCCGTGTCTCGGCGTGTCTCGGCGTGTACAGGAGAGCCAAGCTGTTCCGCTACCTACTCGCCTACCCAACCCTCACCGTGTCTCTCTCTGTCTCTCTCTCTGTCTCTCTCTCTGTCTCTCTCTCTGTCTCTCTCTGTCTCTCTCTCCGTGTCTCTCTCTGTCTCGGCGTGTACAGGAGAGCCAAGCTGTTCCGCTACGCCAGCGAGTCGGAGCCGGGCGAGTGGAAGGAGCGGGGCACGGGCGATGTGAAGCTGCTGCAGCACAAGCAGCGCCGCACCGTGCGTCTGCTCATGCGGCGAGACAAGACGCTCAAGATCTGCGCCAACCACTACAGTGAGCGGGTCGCACGCACGGAAGGCTGGCGTGGCTCGCTGACTCGCTGGCTCACTCGCTGTAGAGACGCTGACTCACTCGCTCACTCGCTGTAGAGACGCTGACTCACTCGCTCACTCGCTGTAGAGACGCTGACTCACTCGCTCACTCGCTGTAGAGACGCTGACTCACTCGCTCACTCGCTGTAGAGACGCTGACTCACTGACTCACTCACTCGCTATAGAGACGCTGACTCACTCGCTGTAGAGACGCTGACTCACTCACTCACTCACTGCAGAGACGCTGACTCACTGACTCACTGCAGAGACGCTGACTCACTGGCTCACTCGCTGTAGAGACGCTGACTCACTGACTCACTCACTCGCTATAGAGACGCTGACTCACTGGTTCACTCGCTGTAGAGACGCTGACTCACTGGTTCACTCGCTGTAGAGACGCTGACTCACTGGTTCACTCGCTGTAGAGACGCTGACTCACTGGCTCACTCGCTGTAGAGACGCTGACTCACTGACTCACTCACTCGCTATAGAGACGCTGACTCACTGGTTCACTCGCTGTAGAGACGCTGACTCACTGGTTCACTCGCTGTAGAGACGCTGACTCACTGGCTCACTCGCTGTAGAGACGCTGACTCACTGACTCACTCGCTGTAGAGACGCTGACTCACTGACTCACTCACTGCAGAGACGCTGACTCACTGGTTCACTCGCTGTAGAGACGCTGACTCACTCACTCACTGCAGAGACGCTGACTCACTCGCTGTAGAGACGCTGATTCACTGACTCACTGTAGAGACGCTGACTCACTCACTGTAAAGACGCTGATTCACTCACTGTAGAGACACTGACTCACTGGCTCACTCGCTGTAGAGACGCTGACTCACTGACTCACTCACTCGCTGTAGAGACGCTGACTCACTGGCTCACTCGCTGTAGAGACGCTGACTCACTCACTGTAGAGACGCTGACTCACTCACTCACTCACTGTAGAGACGCTGACTCACTGTAGAGACGCTGACTCACTGACTCACTCACTCACTGCAGAGACGCTGACTCTCTGACTCACTCACTCACTGCAGAGACGCTGACTCACTGACTCACTGTAGAGACGCTGACTCACTCGCTGTAGAGACGCTGATTCACTGACTCACTGTAGAGACGCTGACTCACTCACTGTAAAGACGCTGATTCACTCACTGTAGAGACACTGACTCACTGGCTCACTCGCTGTAGAGACGCTGACTCACTCGCTGTAGAGACGCTGACTCACTGACTCACTCACTCACTGCAGAGACGCTGACTCACTGACTCACTCACTCACTGCAGAGACGCTGACTCACTGACTCACTCACTCACTGCAGAGACGCTGACTCACTGACTCACTGTAGAGACACTGACTCACTCACTGTAAAGACGCTGATTCACTCACTGTAGAGACACTCACTCACTGTAGAGACACTGACTCACTCACTGTAAAGACGCTGATTCACTCACTGTAGAGACACTGACTCACTCACTGTAGAGATGCTGACTCACTCACTGTAGAGACACTCACTCACTGTAGAGACACTCACTCACTGTAGAGACACTTACTCACTGTAGAGACGCTGACTCACTCACTGTAGAGACGCTGACTCACTCACTGTAGAGACACTGACTCACTCACTGTAGAGATGCTCACTGTAGAGACACTCACTCACTGTAGAGACACTCACTCACTGTAGAGACACTCACTCACTGTAGAGACACTGACTCACTGGCTCACTCACTGTAGAGACACTCACTCACTGTAGAGACGCTGAATCACTCACTGTAGAAACACTGACTCACTGTAGAGACGCTGACTCACTGGCTCACTCGCTGTAGAGACGCTGACTCACTCACTCACTGCAGAGACGCTGACTCACTGACTCGCTGTAGAGACACTGACTCACTCACTGTAAAGACACTGATTCACTCACTGTAGAGACACTGACTCACTCACTGTAGAGACACTCACTGTAGAGATGCTGACTCACTCACTGTAAAGACGCTGACTCACTGTAGAGACACTGGCTCACTCACTGTAGAGACGCTCACTCACTGACTCACTCACTCACTGCAGAGACGCTGACTCACTGACTCACTGTAGAGACACTGACTCACTGTAAAGACGCTGATTCACTCACTGTAGAGACGCTGACTCACTGTAGAGACACTGACTCACTCACTGTAGAGACACTCACTGTAGAGACACTGACTCACTCACTCACTGCAGAGACGCTGACTCACTCACTGTAGAGACACTCACTCACTGTAGAGACACTCACTCACTGTAGAGACGCTGACTCACTCACTGTAGAGACACTGACTCACTGTAGAGACACTGACTCCATCACTGTAAAGACACTGACTCACTGTAGAGACACTGACTCACTCACTGTAGAGACACTGACTCACTCACTGTAGAGACACTGACTCACTGTAGAGACACTCACTCACTGTAGAGACGCTGACTCACTCACTGTAGAGACACTGACTCACTCACTGTAGAGACACTGACTCACTCACTGTAGAGACACTCACTCACTGTAGAGACACTCACTCACTGTAGAGACGCTGACTCACTCACTGTAGAGACGCTCACTGTAGAGACACTCACTCACTGTAGAGACGCTGACTCACTCACTGTAGAGACACTGACTCACTCACTGTAGAGACACTCACTCACTGTAAAGACACTGACTCACTGTAGAGACGCTGACTCACTCACTGTAGAGACACTGACTCACTCACTGTAGAGACACTGACTCACTCACTGTAGAGACGCTGACTCACTGTAGAGACGCTGACTCACTGTAGAGACGCTGACTCACTGTAGAGACACTCACTCACTGTAGAGACACTGACTCACTCACTGTAGAGACACTGACTCACTCACTGTAGAGACACTCACTCACTGTAGAGACACTGACTCACTGTAGAGACACTCACTCACTGTAGAGACGCTGACTCACTCACTGTAGAGACACTGACTCACTCACTGTAGAGACACTGACTCACTCACTGTAGAGACACTCACTCACTGTAGAGACACTCACTCACTGTAGAGACGCTGACTCACTCACTGTAGAGACGCTCACTGTAGAGACACTCACTCACTGTAGAGACGCTGACTCACTCACTGTAGAGACACTGACTCACTCACTGTAGAGACACTCACTGTAGAGACACTCACTCACTGTAGAGACACTCACTCACTGTAGAGACGCTGACTCACTCACTGTAGAGACACTGACTCACTCACTGTAGAGACACTCACTGTAGAGACGCTCACTCACTGTAGAGACACTCACTCACTGTAGAGACACTCACTCACTCACTGTAGAGACACTGACTCACTGACTCACTCACTGTAGAGATGCTGAGTCACTCACTGTAGAGACGCTGACTCACTCACTGTAGAGACACTGACTCACTCACTGTAGAGACACTGACTCACTCACTGTAGAGACGCTGACTCACTCACTGTAGAGACACTCACTCACTCACTTTAGAGACACTCACTCACTGTAGAGACACTGACTCACTCACTGTAGAGATGCTGACTCACTCACTGTAGAGACGCTGACTCACTCACTGTAGAGACACTCACTCACTGTAGAGACACTCACTGTAGAGACACTGACTCACTCACTGTAGAGACACTCACTCACTGTAGAGACACTCACTGTAGAGACACTCACTCACTGTAGAGACACTCACTCACTGTAGAGACACTGACTCACTCACTGTAGAGACACTGACTCACTGTAGAGACACTCACTGTAGAGACACTCACTCACTGTAGAGACACTGACTCACTCACTGTAGAGACACTCACTGTAGAGACACTCACTCACTGTAGAGACACTGACTCACTCACTGTAGAGACACTGACTCACTCACTGTAGAGACACTGACTCACTCACTGTAGAGACACTGACTCACTCACTGTAGAGACACTGACTCACTCACTGTAGAGACACTCACTCACTGTAGAGACACTCACTCACTCACTGTAGAGACACTGACTCACTGACTCACTCACTGTAGAGATGCTGAGTCACTCACTGTAGAGACGCTGACTCACTCACTGTAGAGACACTCACTGTAGAGACACTCACTGTAGAGACACTCACTGTAGAGACACTCACTGTAGAGACACTCACTCACTGTAGAGACACTCACTCACTGTAGAGACACTCACTCACTGTAGAAACGCTGACTCACTCACTGTAGAGACGCTGACTCACTCACTGTAGAGACACTCACTCACTGTAGAGACGCTGACTCACTCACTGTAGAGACACTCACTCACTCACTGTAGAGACACTCACTGTAGAGACACTGACTCACTCACTGTAGAGACACTCACTTACTGTAGAGACACTGACTCACTCACTGTAGAGACACTGACTCACTGTAGAGACACTCACTGTAGAGATGCTGACTCACTCACTGTAGAGACGCTGACTCACTCACTGTAGAGACACTCACTCACTGTAGAGACGCTGACTCACTCACTGTAGAGACACTCACTCACTGTAGAGACACTCACTGTAGAGATGCTGACTCACTCACTGTAGAGACGCTGACTCACTCACTGTAGAGACACTCACTCACTGTAGAGACGCTGACTCACTCACTGTAGAGACACTCACTCACTGTAGAGACACTGACTCACTCACTGTAGAGATGCTGACTCACTCACTGTAGAGACGCTGACTCACTCACTGTAGAGACACTCACTCACTGTAGAGACACTCACTGTAGAGACACTGACTCACTCACTGTAGAGACACTCACTCACTGTAGAGACACTCACTGTAGAGACACTCACTCACTGTAGAGACACTCACTCACTGTAGAGACACTGACTCACTCACTGTAGAGACACTGACTCACTGTAGAGACACTCACTGTAGAGACACTCACTCACTGTAGAGACACTGACTCACTCACTGTAGAGACACTCACTGTAGAGACACTCACTCACTGTAGAGACACTGACTCACTCACTGTAGAGACACTGACTCACTCACTGTAGAGACACTGACTCACTCACTGTAGAGACACTGACTCACTCACTGTAGAGACACTGACTCACTCACTGTAGAGACACTCACTCACTGTAGAGACACTCACTCACTCACTGTAGAGACACTGACTCACTGACTCACTCACTGTAGAGATGCTGAGTCACTCACTGTAGAGACGCTGACTCACTCACTGTAGAGACGCTGACTCACTCACTGTAGAGACACTGACTCACTCACTGTAGAGACACTCACTGTAGAGACACTCACTGTAGAGACACTCACTGTAGAGACACTCACTCACTGTAGAGACACTCACTCACTGTAGAGACACTCACTCACTGTAGAGACGCTGACTCACTCACTGTAGAGACGCTGACTCACTCACTGTAGAGACACTCACTCACTGTAGAGACGCTGACTCACTCACTGTAGAGACACTCACTCACTCACTGTAGAGACACTCACTGTAGAGACACTGACTCACTCACTGTAGAGACACTCACTTACTGTAGAGACACTGACTCACTCACTGTAGAGACACTGACTCACTGTAGAGACACTCACTGTAGAGATGCTGACTCACTCACTGTAGAGACGCTGACTCACTCACTGTAGAGACACTCACTCACTGTAGAGACGCTGACTCACTCACTGTAGAGACACTCACTCACTGTAGAGACACTGACTCACTCACTGTAGAGACACTCACTCACTGTAGAGACACTCACTCACTGTAGAGACACTGACTCACTCACTGTAGAGACACTGACTCACTGTAGAGACACTGACTCACTCACTGTAGAGACACTGACTCACTCACTGTAGAGACACTGACTCACTCACTGTAGAGACACTGACTCACTCACTGTAGAGACACTGACTCACTCACTGTAGAGACACTGACTCACTCACTGTAGAGACACTGACTCACTCACTGTAGAGACACTCACTCACTCACTGTAGAGACACTCACTCACTGTAGAGACACTCACTCACTGTAGAGACACTCACTCACTCACTGTAGAGACACTGACTCACTGACTCACTCACTGTAGAGATGCTGAGTCACTCACTGTAGAGACGCTGACTCACTCACTGTAGAGACACTGACTCACTCACTGTAGAGACACTCACTGTAGAGACACTCACTGTAGAGACACTCACTGTAGAGACACTCACTGTAGAGACACTGACTCACTCACTGTAGAGACACTCACTCACTGTAGAGACACTGACTCACTGTAGAGACACTGACTCACTGTAGAGACACTGACTCACTCACTGTAGAGACGCTGACTCACTCACTCACTGTAGAGACGCTGACTCACTCACTGTAGAGACACTCACTGTAGAGACACTCACTCACTGTAGAGACGCTGACTCACTCACTGTAGAGACACTCACTCACTGTAGAGACGCTGCCTCACTCACTGTAGAGACGCTGACTCATGGAGCTGAATCCCAGCGTTGGGGAGTGACAGGACCTGGGTGTGGAGCTGTGACCGTGGTTGACTCTGTCCGTAGTCACCCCGCTGATGGAGCTGAATCCCAGCTTTGGGGAGCGACAGGACCTGGGTGTGGAGCTGTGACCGTGGTTGACTCTGTCCGTAGTCACCCCGCTGATGGAGCTGAATCCCAGCGTTGGGGAGCGACAGGACCTGGGTGTGGACCTGTGACCGTGGTTGACTCTCTCCGTAGTCACCCCGCTGATGGAGCTGAATCCCAGCGTTGGGGAGCGACAGGACCTGGGTGTGGACCTGTGACCGTGGTTGACTCTGTCCGTAGTCACCCCGCTGGTGGAGCTGAATCCCAGCGTTGGGGAGCGACAGGACCTGGGTGTGGAGCTGTGACCGTGGTTGACTCTCTCCGTAGTCACCCCGCTGATGGAGCTGAATCCCAGCGTTGGGAGCGACAGGGCGTGGGTGTGGAGCTGTGACCGTGGTTGACTCTCTCCGTAGTCACCCCGCTGATGGAGCTGAATCCCAGCGTTGGGGAGTGACAGGACCTGGGTGTGGAGCTGTGACCATGGTTGACTCTCTCCGTAGTCACCCCGCTGATGGAGCTGAAGCTTCATCGTTGGGGAGCGACAGGACCTGGGTGTGGAGCTGTGACCGTGGTTGACTCTGTCCGTAGTCACCCCGCTGGTGGAGCTGAATCCCAGCCTTGGGGAGCGACAGGACCTGGGTGTGGAGCTGTGACCGTGGTTGACTCTCTCCGTAGTCACCCCGCTGATGGAGCTGAAGCTTCATCGTTGGGGAGTGACAGGGCCTGGGTGTGGACCTGTGACCGTGGTTGACTCTCTCCGTAGTCACCCCGCTGATGGAGCTGAATCCCAGCGTTGGGGAGCGACAGGACCTGGGTGTGGAGCTGTGACCGTGGTTGACTCTCTCCGTAGTCACCCCGCTGATGGAGCTCAAGCCCAACGTGGGGAGCGACAGGGCGTGGGTGTGGAGCACGCTGGCGGACTTCACGGACAACGAAGCTCGCCCCGAGATGCTCGCCCTGCGCTTCCTCAACGCTGAGAGTACGCGGGGGGAGGGGATGAGGAGGGTGGATGGTGGACGATGAGGGGGGTGAGGATTTGTGGGTGCCTGCGTGTGAGTGAGTTAATAGGTAGGTGAGTGTGTGAGTGGGTAGGCGAGTGTACGGGTTGGTGGGTGGGTGAGTGGGTGGGTGAATGTGTGGGTAGGCGAGTGAGTGAGTGGGTAGGTGAGTGGGGGAGTGCGTGGGCGAGTGGGTGAGTGGGTGGGTGAGTGGGTTAGTGAGTAGATAGGTGAGTGTGTGAGTGGGGGAAGTGAGTCTTTGTGTGAGTGGATAGGCGAGTGTACGAGTTGGTGAGTGAGTGGGTGAATGTGTGGGTGGGTGGGTGAGTGGGTTAGTGAGTAAATAGGTAGGTGAGTGTGTCAGTGGGTAGGCGAGTGTACGAGTTGGTGAGTGAGTGGGTGAATGTGTGGGTGGGTGGGTGAGTGGGGGAGTGTGTGGGCGAGTGGGTGAGTGAGTGGGTTAGTGAGTAAATAGGTAGGTGAGTGTGTGAGTGGGGGAAGTGAGTGAGTGTGTGAGTGGGTAGGTGAGTGTACGAGTTGGTGAGTGAGTGGGTGAGTGGGGGATGTGAGTGAGTGGGTAGGCGATTGTACAAGTTGGTGAGTGAGTGAGTGAATGTGTGGATGGGTGGGTGAGTGGGGGAGTGTGTGGGCGAGTGGGTGAGTGAGTGGGTTAGTGAGTAAATAGGTAGGTGAGTGTGTGAGTGGGGGAAGTGAGTGAGTGTGTGAGTGGGTAGGCGAGTGTACGAGTTGGTGAGTGAGTGGGTGAATGTGTGGGTAGGTGAGTGGGTGAGTGCGTGGGTTAGTGAGTAGATAGGTAGGTGAGTGTGTGAGTGGGTAGGCGAGTGTACGAGTTGGTGAGTGAGTGGGTGAATGTGTGGGTGGGTGGGTGAGTGGGGGAGTGTGTGGGCGAGTGGGTGAGTGAGTGGGTTAGTGAGTAAATAGGTAGGTGAGTGTGTGAGTGGGGGAAGTGAGTGAGTGTGTGAGTGGGTAGGTGAGTGTACGAGTTGGTGAGTGAGTGGGTGAGTGGGGGATGTGAGTGAGTGGGTAGGCGATTGTACAAGTTGGTGAGTGAGTGAGTGAATGTGTGGATGGGTGGGTGAGTGGGGGAGTGTGTGGGCGAGTGGGTGAGTGAGTGGGTTAGTGAGTAAATAGGTAGGTGAGTGTGTGAGTGGGGGAAGTGAGTGAGTGTGTGAGTGGGTAGGCGAGTGTACGAGTTGGTGAGTGAGTGGGTGAATGTGTGGGTAGGTGAGTGGGTGAGTGCGTGGGTTAGTGAGTAGATAGGTAGGTGAGTGTGTGAGTGGGTAGGCGAGTGTACGAGTTGGTGAGTGAGTGGGTGAATGTGTGGGTAGGTGAGTGGGTGGGTAGGTGAGTGGGTAGGTGAGTGGGTGAGTGAGTGGGTTAGTGAGTACATAGGTAGGTGAGTGTGTGAGTGGGGGAAGTGAGTGAGTGAGTGGGTAGGCGAGTGTACGAGTTGGTGAGTGAGTGGGTGAGTGGGGGAGTGCGTGGGCGAGTGGGTTAGCGAGTGAATGGGTAGGTGAGTGGGTTAGTGAGTGGGTTAGTGGCTGGGTGGGTGACTGGGTGAGTGTCTGGGTGAGTGGATGAATGTGTGGGTAGGTGAGTGATTGGGTCGACTAGTGGGTGAGTGGGTAGGTGAGTTGGCGAGTGGGTGGACGAGTGGGTGAGTGAGTGGGTAGGTGAGTTAGTGAGTGAGGAGGTGAGTGAGTTAGTGGCTGGGTGAGTTAGTGAGTGGGTAGGGGAGTGAGTCGGTGAGTAAATGGGTCACCTTTTGCCTGTGAGTGGGTGAGTGAGTGAGAGTGGGTCGGTGAGTGGGTGAGTGAGAGTGCGTAGGTGGGTGGGTGAGTGAAAGTGGGTGGGTGAGTGTGTGAGTGAGAGTGGGTAGGTGAGTGCGTGAGTGTACGAGTGAGTGGGTAGGTGAGTGGGTAATTGTGTGAGTGGGTGGGTGAGTGTACGAGTGGGTGGGTGAGTAGGTAAGTGGGTGAGTGGGTGAGTGGGTGAGTAGGTGAGTGGGTGGGTGAGTGGGTGGGTGAGTGGGTAAATGTGTGAGTGTACGAGTGGGTGGGTGAGTGTGTAGTTTAGTGGGTAGGTGAGTGTACGAGTGAGTGGGTGGGTGAGTGTGTAGTTGAGTGGGTGGGTGAGTGGGTTAATGTGTGAGTAGGTGAGTGTGTGAGTGAGTGGGTAAATGTGTGAGTGGGTGGGTGAGTAGGTGAGCAGGTGAGTGAGTGGGTAGGTGAGTGTGTGAGTGAGTGAGTGGGTGGGTGAGTGTACGAGTAGGTGGGTAGGTGAGTGGGTGACTGGTAAGTGGGTAAATGTGTGAGTGGGTGGGTGTGTAGTTTAGTGTGTGAGTGGGTGGGTAAATGTGTGAGTGGGTGGCTGCCCGGCTCACCTTCGCCTGTTGTTGCGACCCAACGCAGATGCCCAGAAGTTCAAGCAGAAGTTTGAGGAGTGCCAGAGAACGCTGAAGGAGGAGAATGATGGTCACTCGGGTAAGCCTGCCGACTCATTCACCCGCTCACTCGTTCATTCACCCTCTCACTCATTCACCCACTCATTCATTCACCCACACACTCGCCCACTCATTCATTCACCCAAACACTCGCCCAGTCACTCATTCATTTACTCATTCATTCGCTTATTCACCCACCCACTCACTCATTCACCCACCCACTCACTCATTCACCCACTCACTCATTCACCCACCCACTCACTCATTCACCCACCCACTCATTCATTCACCCACACACTCGCCCACTCATTCATTCACCCACACACTCGCCCAGTCACTCATTCACTCACTCATTCGCTTATTCACCCACCCACTCACTCATTCACCTACTCACTCATTCACCCACCCACTCATTCACCCACCCACTCACTCATTCACCCACCCACTCATTCATTCACCCACACACTCGCCCACTCACTCATTCATTCACCCACACACTCGCCCAGTCACTCATTCACTCACTCATTCGCTTATTCACCCACCCACTCACTCATTCACCTACTCACTCATTCACCCACCCACTCATTCACCCACCCACTCATTCACCCACCCACTCATTCACCCACCCACTCATTCACCCACCCACTCACTCATTCACCCACCCACTCATTCATTCACCCACACACTCGCCCACTCATTCATTCACCCACACACTCGCCCAGTCACTCATTCACTCACTCATTCGCTTATTCACCCACCCACTCACTCATTCACCTACTCACTCATTCACCCACTCACACATTCACCCACTCACTCATTCACCCACACACTCGCCCAGTCACTCATTCACCCACTCACTCATTCATTCACCCACTCGTTCATTCACCCACTCACTCATTCATTCACCTACTCACTCGCCCACTCACTCATTCATTCACCCACACACTCACCGACTCATTCACCCACCATTCACTCGCCCACTTACTCGCCCACTCACTCGCACACTCACTCGTTCATTCACTTGTTCATTCACTCGTTCATTCACCCACTCACTAATTCACCCACACACTCATTCGCATATTCACCCACTCACTCACCCGCCCACTCATTCACCCACTCACTCATTCAACCACTCACTCATTCATTTACTCATTCATCCTCTCATTCACTCACTCACTCACCTCACCTATCCGCTCACCTTCCCATTCATTCACTCACCCACTCACCTACCCACTCACTCGCTCACCCACTTACGTACCCACATACTCACCCACTAGCCTACTCACCTACCCAATCACTCACCTACCCACTCACTCGCCTACCTACCGACTCACTCACCTACCCACCCACCCACTCACCCACCCACTCGTCCACCCACTCAACTACTCACCTACCCGCTCACTCACCCACCAACTCACCCACCCATTCACCTACTCACCTTCCCACTCACTCACCGACTCAGCCGCTCACTCACCTACTCACCCACTCACTCACTCGCCTACTCACCTTCCCACTCACTCACCGACTCACCCACTCACTCGCCTACTCACCTACTCAGCTACCCACTCACCCGCTCACTCACCCACTCACTCGCCTACTCACCTACCCACTCACCGACCCACTCACTCGCCTACTCACCTTCCCACTCACTCACCAACTCACCCGCTCACTCACCTACTCACCCACTCACTCGCCTACTCACCTACCCACTCACCGACCCACTCACTCGCCTATTCACCTACTCACCTTCCCACCCACTCACCGACTCACCCACTCACCGACTCACCCACTCACTCGCCTACTCACCTACCCACTCACCGACCCACTCACTCGCCTACTCACCTTCCCACTCACTCACCGACTCACCCGCTCACTCACCTACTCACCCACTCACTCGCCTACTCACCTACCCACTCACCGACCCACTCACCCACTCACTCGCCTATTCACCTACTCACCTTCCCACCCACTCAACCGACTCACCCACTCACCGACTCACCCGCTCACTCACCTACCCGCTCACTCACCCACCAACTCACCCACCCATTCACCTACTCACCTTCCCACTCACTCACCGACTCAGCCGCTCACTCACCTACTCACCCACTCACTCACTCGCCTACTCACCTTCCCACTCACTCACCGACTCACCCACTCACTCGCCTACTCACCTACTCAGCTACCCACTCACCCGCTCACTCACCCACTCACTCGCCTACTCACCTACCCACTCACCGACCCACTCACTCGCCTACTCACCTTCCCACTCACTCACCAACTCACCCGCTCACTCACCTACTCACCCACTCACTCGCCTACTCATCTACCCACTCACCGACCCACTCACTCGCCTATTCACCTACTCACCTTCCCACCCACTCACCGACTCACCCACTCACCGACTCACCCACTCACTCACCGACTCACCCGCTCACTCACCTACTCACCCACTCACTCGCCTACTCACCTACCCACTCACCGACCCACTCACCCACTCACTCGCCTATTCACCTACTCACCTTCCCACGCACTCAACCGACTCACCCACTCACCGACTCACCCGCTCACTCACCTACCCGCACACTCACTCACCCACACACTCACTCACCCACCCACTCACTCACCCACCCACTCACTCACCCGTTCACTCACTCACCCACTCACCGACCCACTCGCCCACTCACTCGGCACCCGCTCACCCACTCACCCACTCACTCACCCACCCACTCACTCGCCCACTCACCGACCCACTCGCCCACCCACCCACTCGGCACCCGCTCTCTCACCCACCCGCTCACCCACTCACTCACCCACTCACTCACTCACTCACCCACTCACTCACCCACTCACTCACCCACCCACTAACTCACCCACCCACTCACTCACTCACTCACCCACTCACTCACTCACTCACCCACCCACTCACTCGCCCACTCATCCACTCACCCACCCACCCACTCGCCCACCCACCCGCTCGCTCACCCGAGTGATTTTAATTGCCCCGCGCTTGCAGACGTTGCCCTGCAGGTGATGGAGAAGCTCCATCAGCTGCAGGTGGCGGAGGAGGGGGGGGAGGAGGATGAGGAGGATGAGGAGGAGGAGGGGGATGATGATGATGAGGAGGAGGAGGAGGGGGAGGGAGCGGAGGCGAAATCCCCCAAATCGCCGTCATCGCCATCATCGCAATCATCGCCCGCAACCGCTGCAACCGCTGCAACTCCTGCAACCGGCGCGACCGTAGCGACCGTAGCGACCGGCGCGACGGAGCAAGGCAGAGAACCGCCGGCTCCTCCCGTCGCCACGGAGACCGCCTCTGGCGAGGAGGCGGGGCCCTGAGGTTTCAGTGATTGGGGGGTTGGGGGGTTGGTTATGACGCACGCACACGCATGTAGCGCACACGCATGTAGCGCACACTTGCGTACACTGTGCGCGCGTGTGTACACACACACATACGTGTGGTGTGTGTGTGTGTACGTGTGTATGTATGCACCTACACGTACACTGTGTGCGTGTGTGTGTACACACGTGTGTGTGTGTACGTACATACACACGTGTGTGTGTGTGTACGTACATACACACGTGTGTGTGTGTACATACATGTACACTGTGTGCGTGTGTGTGTACACACATACACACGTGTGGTGTGTACGTACATACACACGTGTGCACACATACACACGTGTGGTGTGTATGTACGTACACACACACGTACACACGTGTGTGTACACACATAGACACGTGTGTGTACATGTACACTTTGCGCGTGTGTACACACATACACACACGTGTATGTGTGTACATACATACACACGTGTATGTGTGTACATACATACACGTACACTGTATGCGCGTGTGTACACACGTGTATGTACACACATACACACGTGTGTATGTGTGTGTGGACACACACGTGCACACAGTGTACGTGTGTGTATGTACATACATACACACGTGTGTATGTGTGTACATACATACACACGTGTGTATGTGTGTACATACACACACGTAAACTGTGTGCACGTGTGTGTCCACACACACGTGTGTATGTACATACATACGCGTACACACACGCGCACACACGTGTGTATAAAGACATACTCAAGAACGTACACACACACACGTACACACGCACGCACACAAACGCACGTTCAAGTGCTGTCAGTAGCAGCAGCAGTGTGTGGGTGGGTGAGTGAGTTGGTGGATGGGTGAGTGCGTTGGTGGGTGAGTGAGTTGATGGATGGATGAGTGAGTGGGTGGGTGAGTGGCTAGGTGGGTGGGCGAGTGAGTTGGTGGATGGATGATAAGTGGGTGGCTGGGTGGGTGGGTGAGTGGGTAGTGAGTTGGTGGGTGGATGGATGGATGAGTGGCTAGGTGGGTGGGTAAGTGGCTAGGTGGGTGGGTGAGTGAGTTGGTGGATGGATGAGTGGGTGGGTGGCTAGGTGCGTGGGTGAGTGGGTGGGTGAGTTGGTGGATGGATGATGAGTGGGTGGATGAGTGGGTGGCTAGGTGGGTGGGTGAGTGGGTGGGTGGATGAGTGGCTGGCTAGGTGGGTGGGTGAGTGGGTGGGTGGGTGGATGAGTGGCTAGGTGAGTGGGTGGGTGGTGCTGTGACCCACCCACCCCCTCCGTGTGTGGCAACAGTGGCGGCCTTCATAGGCAGCGCTGCTGCTGCTACTTGCTACTGCTGACAGCACTTGCCCCTACAGCACTGTTAGAGGCTACCTGGGGGAGCTTTGTCTTTGAATGAGCACAGCTAATCGGGGACCAATGCACGCTCACACACTCGCTCACACACACTCGCTCACACACACACTCTCACACTCACTCGCTCACACACACTCTCACACTCGCTCACACTCGCTCACACACTCGCTCACACGCTCACACTCTCACACACACTCTCACACTCGCTCACACACGCTCACACTCGCTCACACACTCGCTCACACGCTCACACTCTCACACACACTCGCGCACACACACACTCTCACACTCACTCGCTCACACACACTCGCTCACACACACACTCTCACACTCACTCGCTCACACACACTCGCTCACACTCACACTCTCACACTCACTCGCTCACACACTCGCTCACACTCGCTCACACACTCGCTCACACTCCCTCACACGCTCACACTCTCACACACACTCTCACACTCGCTCACGCTCGCTCGCTACCATCCTCCCACCGCGGTTAGCAAGTGGAATCAACCCGGGTCGACCCGTAGGTTCAATGAAGTTGCCCGCGACCGGAACGAGGTTGCCTGGAGCTGCTGCGAGTCACGCCCGGAGTTGACCCGAGTTGACCCGAGTTGACCCGAGTTGACCCGAGTTGACCCGAGTTGACCTGGAGTTGACCCGAGTTGCCCGGAGTTGAGTCGCTCTCTCGCGCGTGCGCTCTTAGTTTGAGATGTGATTTGAATGGAGTTTTCCCCGAGTTGAACGCGGCTGCTCCCGGTCGACTGGAGTTGCCTCGAGTTGACCGGCACACGAGACGGGATGGGGATTAAGTTGCCGGGCGAGTCGAGCAAGGTTGCCTCGAGTTGCTCCCGAGTCGAGACGGCCGAGTTCAATAAAGTTGCCTCAAATTGAGCCGGGTGACTTTGCGCTTTGTTGAGTTGACCGGAGCCACGAGTTGCATCGAGTTGACTCCAAGTTGCTACGAGTTGCCTCCAGTTGCTACGAGTTGACTCCAGTTGCTACGAGTTGCCTCCAAGTTGCTACGAGTTGCCTCCAGTTGCTACGAGTTGCCTCCAGTTGCTACGAGTTGCCTCCAGTTGCTACGAGTTGCTACAAGTTTCCTCCAGTTGCTACGAGTTGCTACAAGTTTCCTCCAGTTGCTACGAGTTGCCTCCAGTTGCTCCGAGTTGACCCGAACAGGCTCAAGTTGCGCCCTGTGTTTGCAGCCCCTCGCCTCGCACTCGCCCACTTTGAAGTGGCAACTTCGGTTGACCGAAAGCGAGAGGGAAAACAAGTGAACAACTGTAAGAGCATTATGAGACCTCCTTTGCCAGTAACAAGATATAGTAAATAGGTTTTAGCTGGCACAAAAAAACTGACACCTTTATTCAAGGCATCGTGTCTGCAATAACCACAACACAAGCAGTCAAATGCAACACACAAAAGAGACAACTCTGATAATAATATTGGCACTGTCCTTGAATTTGATTGGTCCACACCAGAGACGGATTTTCTTAGAGCCCTTTAGTCTCTCCACTGGTGTTGGACCAGAAGACGCCAAAAGGCGTACAACTCAAAAAACAGCAGCGCACTATCAGAGTTATTGATGGTGCTCGGGGTGAGCATTTACATTATGAGACCTCCTTTGCCAGTAACAAGATATAGGAATAGGTTTTAGCTGGCACAAAAACTGACACCTTTATTCAAGGCATCGTGTCTGCAATAACCACAACACAAGCAGTCAAAATGCAACTCACAAAATAGACAACTCTGATAATAATATTGGCACTGTCCTTGAATTTGATTGGTCCACACCAGAGACGGATTTTCTTAGAGCATTTTAGTCTCTCCACTGGTGTTGGACCAGAAGACGCCAAAAGGCCAGTAGTGTAGTGTATAGTAGTGTGCAGTGTATAGTGTAGTGTATAGTAGTGTATAGTAGTGTATTATAGTAGTGTATAGTGTGTAGTAATGTATAGTGCATAGTAGTGTATAGAGTATGGTAGTGTAGTATGTAGTGTAGTCGTGCTGGGGTGGGGTGTCCCGTTAAGAGGACTCCATCTCCCAACACTGACAGGGTCTGTCCTGTGACCTCCTCCTGCACCTAGCCTGGCACAGCAGTCAACCCATGGCACCTGCTGGGTCTGTCCCGTGACCTCCTCGTGCACCTAGCCTGGCACAGCAGTCAACCCATGGCACCTGCTTGTTCTGTCCCGTGACCTCGTGCACCTAGCCTGGCACAGCAGTCAACCCATGGCACCTGCTGGGTCTGTCCCGTGACTTTCTGCCAGTAGCGAGCCTTCGAAATTGCACGTGACAGCCTCAAAGTGCAAAGACACGGGGAGACAGAGAGACACGGGGAGACAGAGACACGGGGAGACAGAGACATAGACAGAGAGAGACACGGGGAGACAGAGAGACATAGACAGAGAGAGACACGGCGAGACAGAGACACGGGGAGACAGAGACACGGGGAGACAGAGACACGGGGAGACAGAGAGACGGGGAGACAGAGAGACACGGGGAGACAGAGAGAGACACGGGAGACAGACAGAGAGAGACACGGGGAGACAGAGAGAGACACGGGGAGACAGAGAGACACGGGGAGACAGAGACAGAGAAAGACACAGAGACAGAGAGAGACACGGGGAGACAGGAGACAGAGACAGAGAGAGACACGGGGAGACAGAGACAGAGAGAGACACGGGGCGATAGGAGACAGGGAGACAGAGACAGAGAGAGACACGGGGCGACAGGAGACAGGGAGACACAGAGACAGAGAGAGACACGGGGAGACAGAGAGACAGAGAGAGACACGGGGCGACAGGAGACAGGGAGACACAGAGACAGAGACAGAGAGACAGAGACAGAGAGACGGCAGTCTCCACTTCTCTCCCGACGGTCCTCATCTTTGGATACCCGAAGGGCGACGGACCCCAACATCTTCAGGGGCCGGTCAACGTGCTCGTCGGCTACGCCAAGCTCGCTGGTGGTGATGGTGGTGGTGATGGTGGTGGTGGTGATGGTGGTGGTGATGGTGGTGGTGATGGTGGTGGTGGTGATAGTGATGGTGGTGATAGTGATGGTGGTGATAGTGATGGTGGTGGTGTGAGTGGTGGTGGTGTGAGTGGTGGTGATAGTGATGGTGGTGATGGTGGTGGTGTGAGTGGTGGTGGTGGTGATAGTGGTAGTGATGATGATAGTGGTGGTGATGATGATAGTGGTAGTAGTGATGATAGTGGTGGTGGTGATGGTGATGATAGTGGCGATGAAACAAGGCGAGGAAGGTGGCCCTGGAGGGGGCAACGTCCGTCCGGCGGCCTTTGGCATCTTCCGCGCTCCGTTCGGAGCCAGGGGGTTGTGGTGGGCCCGGAGTTCCGGCCGCGTGCGGCTGACCCACGCCGTGCCGGCCTTCAAGGAGCAAGTGGGTTGCTGGAGGAGGCCGTGTGCCCGGTGGCAGATGACGGTAGAGAGAGATCTCTGTGTGTGTGCGCGCGTGTGCAGATTGTGAGCTACCCCGTCGGAGGCTGTAGGATTGTGGGAAGGGCTGCGTGCAGGTGCAGCACTAGTCGTAGTTATATATAAAAAAGAGAGAGAGAGAGTGAGCGAGAGAGAGCGAAATGGAGTAGGAAGAGAGGGGGGTAGAGAGAGAGAGAGGGGGGTAGAGAGGGGTAGAGAGGGGTAGGGAGAGAGAGAGGGGGTAGAGAGAGAGGGGTTAGAGAGGGGGGTAGAGAGAGAGGGGGTAGAGAGAGAAGGGGGGTAGAGAGAGAGGGGGGTAGAGAGAGAGGGGGGTAGAGAGAGAGGGGGTA